GTAAAACACCGGGTACATTTTATTTATTATTATTTATTTAATTTATAAATAAATATTTAAATCCTGCATAAATCTTAATAAAATCTGAAAAAAATCAGTTTTAATTCAGTTTAAATCTGGGTTTTCCGTTGAGTGAAAGGTGGACGAGCATAAAAAACTACCTGTTTGTCTGTTAGCAAAATATCCCATTAATGAAACACTGTCAGGTTTTAATGAGTTCCGTCTGCAGGCGGTTAGTTAAAAACTAAACCTGGTCGATCTTCAGCAGCTAAAAGATTCAGGAGGTTCTGAGTGAAGTTCTTGGTTTGATGCTGAGGACTCACCTGTCTCAGGTGTCTCACTGCAGTGACCGGTTCTGTTGTCTCCACAGACGTTTGGGACGAGGACGCCCACCTGGACTTCCAACATGCTTCCATGATGAGCGAGGGCCGGGCGGACCTGTGGTGTGAGTTTACCTGTGCAGTTCTGAACCCGAACACCTGCTGATTGTTTTCCAGGTGAGTCCATGAATCCATTCACAGGACTGTGTTTGTCCTCCAGTCTGTGAGGAGTGTCAGGACTATTTCCAGGAGGAGTGTCCGTCCCACGGTCCCCCGCTGTTTGTCCCCGACACGCCTGTGGCTCCAGGATTGGCCAACAGGGCGGCGCTCTCCGTCCCGTCGGGTCTGGAGGTCTTCTCTGAAGGGGAGGAGGTAGATGTTCGCTGCACTGATGAAATCTTCCCAAAGGGGGCAGTTTTTGGTCCCTATGAGGGCGAGCTGGTGTCCAAAGAATCCTCTGGCTTCTTCTCCTGGATCGTGAGTCGACCCGGTCCGATCTGGTTTAGAACCGGTTCTCAGACACGTTTCTTACAACTCGTCCTCCGAACCATTTTGTTTTTGTGGTTTCAGATCGTTGGTTTGAACAACAGGTACGAGTCCATCGATGGCAGAGATGAGACCAAAGCCAACTGGATGAGGTGAAGTTAATGTTCCCATCAGTCACTGAGCCGTCACCTTACCTGTTCAGGTGAGTGTCTTCAGCTCAGAGTGTGACTCCGGTGTTTGTAACTCTCAGGTTTGTCCGGACCTCTTCAGAGGCCAGAGACAGGAACCTGACGGCATTCCAACATGGTGGAAACATCTACTTCAGAGTCTGCAGGAGGCTGGAGGTCGGGGAGCGGCTAAGGGTTTGGTACAGTGACGACTACATCCGACGACTTCAGTGTGTGTCTCAGGACAGCATCGACCGCAACCTGAACTCAGGTGAAATGTACAGGTGGTTCATAAAAGTCAGGACAAGCAGGTGGTAGGTTGGATTGTTGACTGGTCGATTGGTTGGTTGATTATTGGTAACATTGATTTGTTAAATGACTGGTTGATTGTTTGGTTGGTTTGTTCATTGGTTGGTTGGTTGGTTGGTCGGTCTGTTTGTTGACTGGTCAATTGTTGGTTGATTATTGGTATCATTGATTTGTTAAATGGCTGGTTGATTGGTTGGTTTGTTTGTTAGTTGGTTGTTTGGTTGGTTGGTTTGTTTGTTGATTGGTTGGTTGGTTGGTTGGTTTGTTTGTTGACTGGTCAGTTGGTTGGTTGATCATTGGTAACATTGATTTGTTAAATGGCTGGATGATTGGTTGGTTGGTTGGTTGGTTGGTCGGTTTACTTGTTTGTTGGTTGGTTCGTTTGTTTGTTGGTTGTTCTGTTTGTTGACTGGTCGATTGGTTGGTTGATTATTGGTAACATTGATTTGTTAAATGGCTGGATGATTGGTTGGTTGGTTGATCGGTTGGTTGATCGGTTTGCTTGTTTGTTGGTTGGTTGGTCTGTTTGTTGACTGGTCGATTGCTTGGTAGATTATTGGTAACATTAGTTTTTTTAATTATTGGTAGATTGGTCACCTAGTTGGTTTGTTTCTTGACTGGTTAATTTGGTAAAATGGTAAATGGACTGAATTTATATGGCACCTTATCAAGGCCACATGGACCCCAAGGCGCTTTACACTTCACCCATGCACCCACTGATGGTGCTAAGCTACATTCTAGCCACATCTGCCCTGGGGCACACTGACAGAGGTGGGGCTGCCATGCACCAGCGCCACCGGACCCTCTGACCACCATCAGTAGGTATGGCGGGTGAAGTGTCTTGCCCAAGGACACAACGACCGAGACAGCTGGACGGGGGATCGAAGCGATGACCTTCCAGTTCCATGACGACTCCCCTAACCATTCCGCCACAGCTGGCCTATAGGTTGTTTGTTGATGTTTATTGGTAGTTTGGTTTAGTTAAATGGTTGGTTTTTTGTTAGGGAGTTAGCGCTTTATGTCTTTTTAGCTTTTAAATGTAGTTCTGTTTCTAAATCCTGAGAAGCTGATCATGTTGTCCAAACTGTAAGGATTTTAAATTTCTCTTCCCGCCTTCAGCTCTGCCAAACAAACTTTGTCCCAAAAAAGAATCCTGTGAAGATCCAGACGGCCAGCCTCCAGCCAAGAGAAAGAAGATTGACCTCATTTTCAAAGATGTTCTGGAAGCGTCTCTGGAGAACTGCAGTCCATCCCGGTCCTGGTCTTCTGTTACTGGTGAGAGTAAACCAGGCCTTCAGCTGAAGTTAGAGGAAAAGGAGGAGGAGAACCAGACCAGCTCAGAACCCTCCACCTCCTTCTGTCCCAACTGCGTCAAACTGAAGAAGAGAATCCTGGAGCTGGAAGAGGAACTGCAGCGTCTAAGAGGAGAGCAGGGGGGCACAATCGGTACTTCGAGTTCTGAACAAACACAGCCTGATCCGGTCCCACCGCATCCTGAGCAGGGCCCCATCGAGGACTTTCAAGGTGGGTTCTGAAACAAGAGTGCTGATTCCTCAGATTCATTTTTTTAGACTCTACAGTCCTTTAGCATCCTTAAACAAGAGTTTGAAGTGACATTCCAAAAACCAACATATTTAGTGTAAATATTTCTGTGACACAAACCACTTAGCTCAAGAAAATGTGATATTTTTTCAGGAAAAGGTTGATTTGGTTTGTTTTTTAGGGATGGAGCCGACGACCCCGCCTCAGGTAGTTTTGGATGAAGATGACCCAGACGTGGACTCAGCTGATGAGTCCATTGCAGCTGACCTTGTGATTTCTCCGGAGGACTCTTCCAAGCTTTACTCCGGAGGAAGCAGACGCATTCGGCGCTTCAAGCAGGAGTGGCTAAAGAAGTTCTGGTTCCTCCGGTACTCGCCGACCCTGAACGAGATGTGGTGCCACGTGTGTCGACAGTACACCGTCCAGTCATCTCGAACCTCTGCCTTCATCATCGGCTCCAAGCAGTTCAAGATCCACACCATCAAGCTCCACAGCCAGAGCAACCTGCACAAGAAGTGCCTGCAGCTCTACAAGCTGCGGATGCATCCGGAGAAGACCGAGGAGATGTGCAGGAACATGACGCTGCTGTTCAATGCCGCATACCATTTGGCTCTGGAGGGGCGGGCCTTCTCTGAGCTCCGTCCGCTGGCGGAGCTGCTGAAGAAATGTGAGCTGAAAGTGGTGGATCAGTACATGAATGAAGGCGACTGTCAGATCCTCATCCACCACATCGCTCGCACTTTGAAGGAAGACCTGACTGAGAAGATGCGCCTGTCTCCCTTCCTGAGCATCATCATGGACGTCCAGAACGATGACTTCTTCTCAGACCTGGTGGCTGTTTATGTCCAGTTCATAACCAATGAAGGGTTCCTCAACACAGAGCTTCTGTCACTGCAGAGACTGAGCGTGGCTAGTGTGGACGGGTACCTCCAAGTTATGGATCGAGCCTTCAGCGTCCTGGGCCTCAAGTTTCAGGACTCGCTGGTGGTGGGTCTTGGAGTGGACGGCACCAACATGTCTTCAGGAATAAGAGCTAATCTTTATGTAGCTGTTCAAAAGACCTTTCCTTGGATCCTCTGCCTTCCCATCATGATCCACCGGCCTCATCTGGAGGTTCTGGACGTCATCAGCGGGAAGGAACTCTGCTGCCTCGAGGATCTGGAGAACAACCTTAAGCAGCTGCTCAGCTTCTATCGGTACTCTCCTCGAATGATGGCCGAGCTGCGATCAACTGCTCCCACGCTGTCAGAGAAGACGGAGTTCCTGGGAGACATCAGAGCCGTTCGATGGATTATAGGAGAGCCGAATGTTCTGAATGCTCTCATCAAAGATTACCTGGAGGTTGTGGCCCACCTGAAGGAGATCAGCATTCAAACTCAGAGGGCCGACATCGCAGCCATCGCTCTCACCCTCCTCCAGTTTCTAATGGACTACCAGTCCGTAAAACTCATCTACTTCCTGCTGGACGTCATAGCTGTTCTGTCACGAGTAGCCCTCACTTTCCAAGGAGAGAACCTTCTGGTGTCGCAGGTGGACGCCAAGATGGAGGCCACGATTCAGGAGATCGGCCAGCTGGTGGACTGCCCCGGGGAATATTTGCAGGAGTTCGAAGAAAACTTCAGAGAAAGCTTTAACGGTGTGGAGCTGAAGAACCTGAGAGTTGCAGAGTCCAAGTTTCAGTCCATCCGAGAAAAGATCTGCAACAGGAGTCAGAGCATCTTGTCTCAGAGGCTAGACCTGCAGAGCCGCTCCTTCTCCAAAGCCTGCAAGGTCCTGGACCTGTCCAACTGGCCGGACAACCACAAAGACCTGCAAGCCTACGGTGAGCAGGAGATCCAGATCATTTTCAGCCACCTGGAGGCCATTCCTTCTGCAGGTCAGGAGGACCAGACTGAGGCTCAGAGTAGCCTGCTGGTGGAGTGGAAGGATCTGAAAGCTGACTACTACAGCCCCAATGGTCTGAAGGAGGTCATCGGTCACATCTGCCGCTACAAGCAGCGGTTTCCTCTTCTGAACCGGGTCGTGCAGGTGGTCCGAGTCCTGCCCAGCTCCACGGCGTGCTGCGATAGAGGCCGAGGGTCTCTGCAGAAGATGTGCAGGAACAGCCGCTCCCGCCTGACGCTGGAGCAGATGAACGACCTGCTCACCGTGGCCATCAACGGGCCGCCCATTGCCGACTTTGATGCAAAGCGGGCGTTGGACGGTTGGTTCGAGGAGAAGTCTGGCAGCGGCTACTTCCACTCCACCGAAGTACCGAACAGAACGTTGGCTGTGGATCAGAAACCGGTCCTGCAGAACGCTGATGTCAAAGCAGAGTTCTACCCTGACGGCTAAAAGACCAACACTCCAGCCAGGGTAGGTGTTGAACTGAAAGGTTAAGAAGAGAAAATCGACCATCTGTGAACTTTACCTGGTGTTCAGACCACGCCCTCTAGTGGTCAACAGCAGGAAGTGCATTTCTGTACTGCATAGAAACTTGACTGCAGCTAAAAGTTTGTTTTATCTGTGTTTTCCTTCATGTTTTAAAGCATGTACATGCTGGAGTCCAGCAGCAAAACCAGGAACAGAACTGGAGAATCTGTTTGATCTGATTGAAAGACGTTTAAACGAACGGGTCGAGTGTTTGAGTAGGTGTCAGAAATAAAAAACAGACTGCTTGAGGACAACATTCCTGCAGATCTGACGTCTTTGTGAGATCCTCGTTCGCTGGGCTGAATGGATTTAAGAACAAAGAACAGGTCTGTTGGATGTTTAATGTCACGGAGGGAGAAACGAACAAAGTAAACAAATCTCACCAAGTGACCATAAACAACAAGAGACCCAAAATAAATCCAAACGTGTCCAAAGAAAAGGAGCAAAAACACAAGAGGAGGTTTGTGTTTTAATACGTTCAGCTGGAGGCCGGAGGGTCCCGGCGGTCCGAGACTGAATAAAAACGCTTGTGTTGCCAGGATGACAAACAGTCACACATCAGGAACAATCAGTGAGTGTCCAACTGAAGGTCTGCTGGAGGTTCTGTACCACTCAGTTCAGGGCCTGACAGAAACCAACCTTTAAAGCTTTTATATTCTGGACGAAGAAAAGAGTATTTTTCTCTGGTATTTATTGTCAGAAGCTTTGAATGTATGAAGTGAAAAGTGTTTTTCTGCGTCTTGCCTTCAGATCAGCAGAGAACGATGAATAAAGGGTTGTGTTTGCTGCATGTTCAGCTGGAGCTTTTAGCCTAAATGTTTTATTTATTCTGTTTGGCTGGAAATGCTTACATGAATGTACGGAAGAGCATTGCAATCACCAAATAAAAAAAATTAGGACTCCTGATCTCATAATTATGAGATAATATCTCGTAAAATGAGATAATATCTCATAATTATAACATCTTATCTCATAATTATGAGATCAGGAGTCAAAAATTTTTATTAGGTGAATGCAATGCTCTTCTGTATGAATATGAGGTGGTGTAAATATATTTTACTAAGTCTTAGAGATAATATAAATGAGTTTGTTGTAATATTTTGGGACTTTCCCAGCAGATAATTAAGATTGAAGTTGAGATCAACAGATTTTATTCGTTCTGTAATAAACCTGATGCTGAAAGTTCAGGATGATGCAGAGGTCTCATAAAATGTTTATTGTTCAAATACAAGAAATCAGTCTTCAGTTTTAAACTCAATAGATCTGGTTTTAGCCTTTATGCTAACTGTAGCATAAACTAAGTTAAGGGTTTTGGTTTTTTTAACATTCTTTATGGTAATTTATGACTAAATGTTTTTATATCTTTAGGCCTTGTGCTAAATGAAGCTAACTGTTAGCCTCTGTTCCAGATGTGGTGCTAAGCTAACAGTTTCCAGGCCTCAACATGATGAACAAAGAGGAGAAACGATTGATGCTCAGATGAAAGTCCTGCAGGATGATGGTTCTGAAGCTAGAACCAGGTTTACCGTGCACGTACGTGCACGCCTCACATTCATTTGATTCTGCAGCGCCACACTAAGGAGGCCGACTCTAACAAACATTAATGAGTTAAGTTTCCCAAAGTGACGCACGTATATTTTATCTATAAAAATGAAACTTTTTGTTCTTGTTCTTCAACATTTTGGTGCCTCTGATGTTTGCACGATGTTTGCACGACTTCCTTTCAGCGTCAAGGTTCTGAATGTAAAACAGTTTCTATCAAAAGTCACTGAACACCTTCTGTTCCTGCAGCTTAAACTGAGTTTATTCTGCTGTTCTGACTGAACTGAAAAACTTTGAGTCAAATAAAAACTGTTTTCTGTCCTTCCTGTTTCAGTTTTTATATCTAGATGTAATGACCCGTCATGACAGGAAGGAAACAACTGCTCAAAGTAATGAAACTGATTCAAGATGGCCGCCACAGCCGGTCCGCTCCAAACCCAGAACTGGTTCCTCAGTTTGGTTGGTGGAGAGTCGTCTCACATTCTGTCTTCCTTCCTGTTCTGATTCGACAGCCTTTATTAAACTATAAACGTGTCTGAAATATAAAACTGTACCCAGTGGGAGGTGGAGGGCCTGGGCCGGGCCGGGTCAGAGGCTCAGAACCATTTATTCATCCAATCACATCTTCAGAACCAACATTCTTCAGAAAGATGAGGTCGTCTCCAGGAAACAAACAAACAAATATTAACTGAACAGAACAGCTTCGTGTCGACTTTCACAAACATTTCGACTCCAGAACCAAACGGAACCGGACGGAACGGGTCAACCAGCAGGAACCAAAGAGGAGAAAGTTTTTGTTTTTAAATAATGAAAGTAATAGTCTAATTTATTAATATTTTGACAAAAAGTTTGCTGCTTTTTTCTATTTCAGAATAAGAAAAACGAGTTTCTGATCAGGTTCTGTTTGGTTCTGTTTGGTTCTGTTCATCACATTCATGCTCCGCTGTTAAACTGCAGAAAAACCTTTCTTTTTACAGTAAAAAGGAACATTTGTTCCAACGTCCCAGCCGAAGCTCCTGTCTGCCATCAGCTGAAGTCTTTAAATCATCAGAATAATTGTTTTAAGTCAGTTTGATAAACAATCGTCTCTTTTTGTATTTTTCTAGTAAACTGTTGAAATCTTCTTTCAGGCACAAAACTCAACATATTCAAAATAAAAAAACAATTTTAATTTTATCTTTAGTCTCTGTTCCCAGCAGCTTTAAAACTGGAAACAGCTTAAAATCTGGGAACAGAAGCTAAAGATTAGCTTAATGTAGCACAAGGCTTATAAAGGCCGTTACAGTTTATTCCATTTTCTTTAGCTGAAACCAGAAAAAAATAATTAATCTCTAACGAGGTGTTTCTTAACGAGCTGCTGGATTAGAAGTTACAAATAGAAAACCAAAAATAAAAACATTTTAAATCCTTTTATTTGTTCTGTTTGCTGTTTGAGAAGCAGCTCTAAAGGTCAGGAGGTGGTGTCGGAGTCCAGCTGTCTGCAACAACACAAACACTCGCATACCAGAACCGACCCGGTTCCACCCACAGAACCAGTCTTCAGAACATCTCCCCGAGGGCTCAGATAAAAACCCACAGAGAGACTTACTAAAACCTGTCTGTGGTCCTGGACCAGCGTGGCTAAATTTAGATACATTCCAACAGCTTGTTAAATAATCCGAAATTAATATTTTATTATTCTAACAGATTAAGATGTTTGTAATCTCTGTCGAACTGGTTCCTCTGGTTCCAGCTCCTCCGGGGTCTGGTCTTACCTGGGTCTCATTCTGCTTCAGTTCTTCTGGCTCCTCTTCAAACAAAACGAAACATGTTTAATTTCACTGCAGTTTTTAAATAAGTTGTTTGTGACGTCATCATGAAGTTTAATTAGCTCACAGCTAACAATCAACTGAAACAGCTAAAGTTTGTTTCTTCTTCAAATGAAGCATAAAATAAATATTTTTACTGTATTATTAAAAATGTGTACTAATATCACAGAGGTAAAAACTAAAGAAAGCACAAAAATAATCAAACATTAAACACAAAATTATAGCCTAGCATGCTAATTAGCTTGGTATGCTAATGGAGCATTTTACTCACCAGTGCTTCAAAGATAAAGAGAAAATTAAGAATAAAAATCAACACAGTCCGACTTTAACCTAAAACTGACCACATATTCTGTGACATACGGAAGAGGATTAGAGCCACTGAAAAAATAAAAGTCAGAATTCTGACTTTTATTTTCTTAGAATTCTGAGATTAAAGTCAGAATTTATGGAAGAGGATTAAGGCCACTGGAAAAAATAAAAATAAAAAGAGAATAGAAGAATTCTGACTTTTTTCTCAGAATTTTGAAAAAAAAAAAAAAAAAAACAGAAATCTGAGATTCAAGTCAGAATTCTGACTTTGTTTTTCTCTCAAAAATCAAAATTCTGACTTTAATCTCAGGCCTTTTTTTCCCCAGAATTTTTTAATCTCAGAATTTTTACCTTTTTCTCAGAATTCTGACTTTTTTTTTACTAAAGTCAGAATCCTGAGGGGAAAAAAGTCTGAATTCTGAGATTAAAGTCAGAATTTAGTTTTTTATTTTTTCAGTGGCGTTAATCCTCTTCCATATCGAAAACTAAAAACACAAAAACACGATTTCTGCTTTTAAATTTTAAAAGCAGAGTGTCGTGTTTTAATTAACTAATTAATTAATTAACTAATTAATGCACAGTCCAGATAGTCTTACAGTGGACATAATCAAGCTGAGAGGCAGAGTGATTGTTGGACAGGAGGAGGGGCAGACGCGAGCAGACAGCCGGTCTTTGTGGTCCAGAGGACAAAGAGATGCTGTCAGCGGACCCCCAGCCTCCTCGGGTCACACTGGACCCCTGTCAGTGGACAGCCAGGTCTCAGAGGGACGCGGGGACGGACACCGAGCTGGACGTTCTTCTCGTGTGCAGGGAGACGACATGAAGCTGCGCCTCGGCCTGGTCCTGCTGCTGTGCTCCGGGATGCTGCATGTTGGTGAGTGGACCAGGACAGAACCTGAAGCTTCTGGTTCTGATCCGCTTCTTCAGCTCCAGACTCAACGCAGGACGCTTCACTTTGAGATAATTAATTAGAAAATATTCACTAAGGTCAAAGGTCAGGGCAGAAAGCGTGCCAGTTGTAGCTGTTTTGGTGACTTTTGTTAGAGCTCAGAGTGATGAGGACGACTCTCAGCTACTACCAGCTAAACTTTAGCTCGTTAGTTACAGCCATTAACTGCCTCTAAGTTACCTCCAGAAGTTAATCCTTTTCAGACGTTCATCCTTTGATAACTGTCTCAGGATCTGTCCAGTGTCCCCTGTGATATTTTGCTAACACACATCTGTCGCTCCCTGTCTCAGGTTCTGGACTTCGCTGCTACAGGTGCTCTGACTACACCGGGCGCTGTGAGAACGTGCAGGAGTGCACGTTTGAGGACTCGTGCATCTCTCTGAGCGAAAGAGGTCAGTCCAGCTGAAAGCAAACAAACGGCAGCCGTCTTGTCTTTGAAATGAAACACTTCCTGTTTTTATCACAGAACTTTTTATTTCAACTAAAGAAGAAGAAAATATTTATTTTATGATTAATAAGTAATTAAAAAGTCAAAATTAAAGAGCATTAAATGCTGCTTGGTTGTGATCTTTGGTGAAGAGTCAGCAGCAATGTGCAGATCGATACTGAAATATCGATACCACCGATACCAGAGCTTTATGCTCTAAAATCGATTCAAAAATCAAAATATCGATACTTTAATACTTCAGTTATTTCACATAATGTTTTCACATTAACAGGAAAATAGTGGAAAATAACTAAACTATTCAAATCTTGTCTAAATCAAATGTGGTTGGAGGGAACTACTTTTTCTTCCACTTGGGTAATGCATGCGCACAGTGGCACATGCTCAGTCACTCAGTCTGTAGAGGTATGGCAGGTCATTTTAACATAAAATCGGCTTTGTCTGACTGTAATTAAATTCTAGTTCCCAAACTTTTTCATGCCACAGCCCTGCAAACAGGATTAGTTCTGGCCAAGGACTTTCTTGTAAACCCACAAACAATTCTACAAAATATACAAAGTAACAACTTTTAGACTGTTTTCCTCACTTTTTTTCACTATTCAAAAATTATATTTCTTTAGAATAAGAATTGTGCTAAAAATACAAGGTTAGTGTTAGAAAGACTATTAAATTAAATAAATTACTATGTCATGTATTATTTATAAAGCAGTTATTTGAAAAATGCTGCTTTACCAGGCATATTATGTGTGTTAGCACAAAGTATCAGTATCGGATCAGTATCACCGATACCAGACACTTTTTACTCTGTATCACTGNTGCATGCGCACAGTGGCACATGCTCAGTCACTCAGTCTGTAGAGGTATGGCAGGTCATTTTAACATAAAATCTGTTTGTCTGACTTTAAATAAATTCTAGTTCCCAAACTTTTTCATGCCACAGCCCCGCAAACAGGATTAGTTCTGGCCAAGGACCTTCTTGCAAACCAACAAACAATGCTACAAAATATACAAAGTAACAACTTTTAGAACATTTTCTCTCACTTTTATTCATTATTCAAAAATTATATTTCTTCAGAATAAGAATTGTGCTAAAATATATAAGGTTAGTGTTAGAAAGACTTTTAAATTAAATAAATTACTATGTCATGTATTATTTGTAAAGCAGTTATTTGAAAAACGCTCCTTTACCCGACACATTATGTGTGTTAACACAAAGTATCAGTATCGGATCAGTGTCACCGATACCAGACACATTTTACTCGGTATCAGTATCGGAAAGAAAATTGGCGTATCGAACATCATTACATCCTGGTGGTTCTGAAAATGTCCTCAGGACCAGTGGGTCTCTAATCCAAGTACTGGTCCAACCTGTGTCCTGCTCGTCCAATCAGAGCTGTGTTTGTGTCCAGGTGGGAAGACGATCCGTCAGTGCATCAGGTACACGGACTGCGACATCTCCCGCCTCACCCAGATGTTTCCGTCCGTCTCCAGCTTCACCTACAGATGCTGCAACAGCAACCTGTGTAACTCGGGCTCCCCGCTGGCTGCAGCAGCGCCGCTCCTGGCCCTGATGGGGTCCCTGCTGAGCACCTGGGGGTTCTGGTTCTGAACTCCCCCGGGATCATAGATTTTAATCCTAACAGAAACTAATCTGAGTTCAGGATCTTTTTGTTTCTCAGGTCTCAGAAAAAAAAAATCATTTTTATCAAGTTTTTACTAATTTTCAAACTGATGTTTTACAAATTTATAATAAACACATAAATAAACACACAACCTTTGTGTTTTTATTTCTTTAGATTAAAACATAAAAAACAAAGACAGGTTCTCGGGTCTCCTGGATCTAAGTTCTCAGGTTCTGCTGACGGTTCTGATGGTGTGACAAACAGGAAACAGAAAAAACAAACAGATTTATAAAATATAAAGAACATGACACAGAGTGAAGATTATTATGATCACAGTCCAACTTCCTGTGTGTGTGTGTGTGTGTGTGTGTGTGTGTGTGTGTGTGTGTGTGTGTGTGTGTGTGTGTGTGT